GTCTGATGACTTCAGAAATCTAGGAGAAAAACTGGAGTTATTTGTACCGTCATCACAGCACTCTGGGCTAGAAGTACAGAACTCAGTTTTAAGAATGCCTTTGCTTATGATTGCATGTAGACTGGCATCAACTACTTTGTGCTGGGAACAAATGATGAGCCAAATCCTACCAACACAGCAAAACAGATGATTTTAAGGACAGGAGTCCATCGAAGCACATGAGCAAGATTCCCTCCATTTCCTCCCTCCACTTGCTGCTGATGCATCTTTCTCAAAGTTTTCTTCCTGTAAAGTCTCCACCCTGCCCCTCCTTCCTGACTGCTACCACAATAGATTTGCCCTTTATCACCAAAATATCTCTAGCTATTTGCACAGTAAAAAAATAGCCATTTCCTTAGTGCCTCTTGCAATTTTACACTGAAAAGGGAGGGAAAAATGTTCTGCTTTCTTAGTGCGCAATGTGGTATCACTCCAAGGAAACCACTTGCTGATACAGTACCATCTGTCAATTGCTTTCTGCCAACTGAGGTTCATACTAGCAAAGTTTTCCACCTCATTTTCTCTTTTGTAAAGAGTTCTTTTTAAAAGTTTTTCTTGAAAGGATTATTTTTCACTTACTGCTTTCTAAAAAATGGATGTCCTTTTAAAGATAAAATTTATTTCTAAAATACGTAAAACCTTATTATGTATAACATAATGTTTTCTGTTCAGAGCTCTCAAGACACTCGACTTCTGCGTAACAACAGAAATCACCCCTACTCATTTTATTACCTAGCTTAACTTCTTCTTCACATTTACATTTCAAAAGTTCCTACCAGCTTTGTCTTCTTTTCTCACCACTTCTGTACCTGCTTCCCTTTCTCCTCCCCAATGCAAGTTTCTTCCATGCACAACCTGCCCTCCAAGGATGCTTGTAATTCACAGCTACAGTTCTTCACTCCACTTCCCTCACTTGCCCCAACCAATGCCTTCTTTCCCTGTGCTTTGTTCCACAACATCCCTCCCCTGTCCCCTTCCTTACTAATCACACTGACTGAAGTATATTCCATGCAGAATAACAATAGAAAAAGAGACTCTAATGCCTTTAGAAAATGAAATTCATCAGATTTGCTTTCAAATGCTTGCATTAAGGACCATGGAATTATACCTTTATTTACATTAACTAGAAAGTCGGGACTCCTGACTCTGACTAGGAAGAGTACCACTCAAGGAAAGAAGAATATTCCACTCTAGATGTCCAAAGTTATGGTAACAATTTATCTGTTCCTCACTCCTGGTTGTACCTTTTAGATCCTAGCCTGATAACCTACGTAAGATGCTCAACAGAATCCTCCTATAGATCTCACTATTTGTATTCCTCACCCCCCAACAAAGCACCTCAGAGATACAGTCACATTAGCTTTCATAACACTCACTCACAGCAAATTATACCCTAACAGAAATGTAGAGACAGCTTTTTTTCAATCTGCTTCTTATCTTTCATTGGTTGAGAAGCCAGCCTTATCCACTCATTAAATTCTCATTTAATCAGCTGCTTCTCATTTGTTTACTTTTATTCCTTAGGTGGTCCTAAACAGACAGGAAATGTGATGCAATGATGTGAGTATCCACGAAATAATCTCCAAGACCCATCTTAAAATCTTCACTCTCTTTTATATGCTGGGGTGTTTAGAGAACTAGCATGCTGAAAATGTGCCTAGGACATGAGCAATGCTGTTTCACTGCCTCCTTGTAATAGCAGAGGTACTATGTCTAACTAGGCAAAACATACTGCTGCGCAGAGACACCTAAGTTGGCCTAGGCTGATTTAATTCAGAGAGTGGAAATGCAGCTGTGACCAGTTAATTAGAAGTGAGAAGTAGCTGAGAAGGAGAGCTAGAGCACTGTAATGAATTTTACATCTGTTTGCTACCAGAGGTATTTCTGATATGGTACTGCATCACACAAACCTATACTCCAGGCTTTTCTTGTTTGTTTGTTTTTTTTTTGCTGATAGCAGTTTAGACACTCCAGCATCAGTTCTCCTCATTGCTGGTAAATATGTTGTGATGTAGGAGGTAAGAGTCACTGGCTGAACCTAAGGACGGCTTGAAGCTGGATGTGCTGGCTTCCTGTCACACCTTTACTACTCAAGGGTCACCACAATAATTCTGTTCCTCATGCTACACATATTAGCATTTAATTTTATACTAGTACTATACTACTAGTAGATGTTGATCTTTGTTCATGAGAAAACAAGGCTGTGAAATCAGCTCTCTAGCAGCTTTTTAAAATCCTGTAATGTGTGATACTTAACAGAGAAGTACCATCAGCTCATTCAGGTTTTCCAGACCATAAATGAAATCTACATTTTTGCAGTTTAATAAAGGTTTGCAATATGTACCTAACGGTAATGGCTCCATCCCAGGGTATCTTGCACATAGTTAAAAACATATTTACAGACCAAATTGGCAATTTTCAGTTGAAAATCTGCAAAGCTGCAGTTTTCTTCATCTTCCTGCAGTGGCTCATAAAAGGTGCCAGCTTTTTCTTTTCCCTTTTTGAAACAGTTGTGCAGTGCGTACCCTAAAGGGAGATATTATCAGATTTTGGAAGGGATTTTGCACAGGCAGTAACAATCATCACCAAATTCTCACATCAGCCTCCATACAATACTGACTGCTTCTCTGAAGGAAGCAGGAATTAAACCTGCTCTTCCCCAGTCAGAGGAGATTCAGTCATAAGATGCTATGGCTCAAAATCCAGGAGCACTGCATATTATCTAAGCAATATTATCTTCAGCAGGGTCTTCTATTCCTTAGAACTTCTTATTAATGAAAATCTATTTCATAAAACATGTTTCAGTATTTCCTTTAAGTTACTGTATAAATGTACAAAAGATAATTTTCAGTGAGTAACTTTGGGCTAGTCACTGAACAAGAATACAAACGTGACTCGTTAACTAAACATGTGAATAATTTTTAGACTATATTTTAGAGTATTTCTCCTGATTCAAAGATGAAGATTTAAACCAGGGCTGCAATGAAAACTTGTTTCCAGCTAGCTACTGCGGGTAGCCACATGACTGTAAAATAAAACACTGAGAAGCTTCAACCATTACATCTGTCCTAAATGTGGGCTGGGTATCCAGTAAAATCAAGCAAGATAACATTTTGGCTGTTTGAATAAGCAGTTGGTGAAAATACACAGTTCAAGGACACAGTGTCAAAACAAAGTGGAAGAGATTTTGGGAGATGTTTGTCTTTTCTGTTCCCTGAGATGATTATTCAGCCCACACAACCAATGGAGTATTCTCTGAAAACAGCGAGCAACTCAGAGTAACATCCCAACATATGCAAAGCATTTTGTTCATAGTGCTCTAGAGGAAACTTTCAAGACAAACAGGGAGCCAGCTATGGGTGGTCTTTGGAATGTGAAGAGGAATGTTTCAGTGTAGCACAGGCTTGGAAAACATACCTACAAGGGCTAACATACACGTTTAAATCTGTGCTCCAGGTTCAACATGTGTGTGAGTGACATCCAACCAGGCATGCTGGAGGGCAGTAAGCACAGCGCGCTGCATGAACATAAGCTTTCTTCTCACTTCAAACAGCCAGCAAACCTAGTTCGAGTCAATCTGCATTTCCCTTCAGACCAATTGGAAAATAGGCGTTACAGATAGTTTCAGCTAAAAAAACATACAAGCAAAGTTTTGTCATTTATCCACCAGTTCTTACAGAGTCTAGAAATTCTCTTTGCTGTGACACAAGTGAAGAGGAATGGACTGTGTCAAAAGTGGCATTATGATGAAACTCATGCTGTCATATATGCTTACTTCCCTCTAAGGTTTTGTACTTCATGTCGCACTGAATAAATACGTGTCTTGACCTGGAGTACTAAAGGGTCATTAACATGAAATTATGACAGATGCAATAGAGAGTAGATTTCTGCTACTCAAAAGAAAAATCTCTTTGACCTTTACATGAAAAAAAATCCATTTTTTAAGACTTAAGGTTAAAGAGTACATGCCAAAGTTATTTTGTAGATCTGCTTTTCATTGTTGCAGAAGATGCTCTCCTAAAATGAATATTGCTGACCTTGAACCCTATCAGCCTTCTCAATCTGCCTGTATTCTTAGAAACTTTAACTTCTTTATATGGAAACTGTCTATAATCTGGGATGTCACAGATTTAAGTTTATAGTCCTGATACAGTTGTACATAAAATGCCAGCGTCAATGATGATGTTACAGGGAGGTCTCTGCTGCACGATTAGCAACACTCTGTAGGACTGAAGAAAACCTGAAACATTTGTGCTAATGCTGATCACAGATTCCAGAGTAAAAATAACTGCCTTGGTCTGGAACATTTAACAAACCACATTTTCCAACTAAAATAACAGCATCTGAATTTGTTAGGCTTAATACCCATCCTAGGAACTCTGTGTAAGTTAAACAGGAGGCCAGGCAACCTAAGGACAGAGGAGAATTTGTGGGATGATTCCAAAGTAAATTGCATGATTTGAAAATGTGGCAAGCGCTTAAAAAAAAAAAAAATAAAATCAGTTAAAAGTAGCTTTCCAGCATAATTTCAGTCAAGTTCAAAACTGACTGGCAGATAACTTTAACATGAGGCAACTACTGCTTTGCAGCTAGTAGCCGCAGACCATTTCATGAAATCCCACTGGCTTGTGATTTATGTGCGCGTGCTAGAAAGCCTCTGACCCGATTCCTAAAGCCAAAATAAAGTATGGCCTGTGCAGCAAACTGGAATCTCCCTGGAGCCACAGAGTAACGCTGTGCTTCAGTCAAAGACTCAGGATTCATGATTGCAACACCACACCGAGGAGCTGGTAATGGAGACGTGCTTGCACATATGTCGCTGTCATATCATACATTTGTTTGTACACAGAGCTCAGACTTCCAAGCTCAGGTTAATTTTAGCTGGACTCGTATGATCCTATCAGACCCCTCATCCCTCACTGTGTTAATTATTGCTCAGCACTCTCTGCCAGCTGACTTACCTTTTTCAATGTGTGTGAATCACTGATGGGGAAGAAGCAGCGTGTGTCGCTGGCTGCAACCTCCTTGTATCTTCCTTGCCGTGTTTTACTCTGTTTGTTCGGGGAGATCCCATTAACAACTGCTGAAAGGAAGCTGTTGGTCATGAGGGGAGTCAGGGTCTGGCAGAACAGGCAGACGGCCACCACCAGGGCCAGGAGGAAGGGGCGAGGGCGACAGAGCCTGCGGCACCTGGGGCCGTGCCCACAAACCATGGCCAGTGTGCTGTCCTCACTCCACCCTTGGCCACATTGCAGATGCAGTAGCCATGTCCTGACAGGGTAAAAATGCCAAAGCGGGCTTTATCCAAAGCTATGGAGGACTTTCCCCATTCCTGCTGCTGAGAGCTTTCCTGGTGCCTGGCAAGAAGTCACCGCGTCCAGAAGAACAGGGTCCTGTGAACTGCCCTCCCATGGGGCTGTGGGAACAACCTGTGGGAAAGAACAAAAGTGAGAAGCAGCACGCCATGGCGCATGGGGTGCTCTGCTTGGAGCTGTGCCGACCTCCATGCACCAGGAGGACAGACCTGGTGGCAGGCAGGTGGGCAGAGGGGATCCGCAGCTCCAGCCTCGCGGCAGGAACTGCTCAGCCAGATAGCATCTAAGAATGCAAGAGGTTAAAGCTTAACATGCTCTGTCCATGGCCAAAAAGAGTAAGAGAGTGTACCAACCTCTTGAACAATCGTTTGCTGTTTTTTCTCTCTCGCATTCTCAATTCCCACTTTGTTTTTATAGTTCCTTTCGGTCCGGTCCCTTTAAATTGCCTCTTTCCTGTCAGTACGCACAGACCTCACTCTAAAAGCGATCAATTATCTAAAACCTGACAGACTACAAAGATTTTCCCTTGCATTTTGTTTCATCCAGATTGTGAGTTCAAAGTTACGCTTACTTACTCAGCTCTTATCCCGTTAGAAGTTTTCCATTCCCCTCTAATGGGCTGCTGATTAAAACCACTTGGTTGGAGCCTGGCTCATGATCCCAGCTCGTCTCACACACTCCGAGGCAGGCACACGCACATACACACACCATCTGAAGCCAGTTGGACCACAGACTTCATATAAATAAAGGCTGGACTGCTTGGAGGGTGGGGCTAAGCGAGCTCAGCTCGGGGCAGGCTCGGGGCTGGAGACGCAGCCCTGCAGCGGGTGGGGAACCAGAGGTGTCCTGCTTGCTGTGTGCCTCCAAAATACCGGCACTGCAATTTTTAGAAAACTGCTGTTACAGCAGTCGGGCTAATTGAAACCAGAAAAATATCTCCAAGGCAGAAGAAATCTGAGCAGCACCTGCAGTATTTTACTCCAAATTAACCAAAATGTTGCAAAAGGAAGCAGGTTTGCTTGGATGTGTCACTGGCGAAGAAGTTGTCAGTACTTTTCCATAGTAGATACGCTAGCTCGTAGCAGAGTATAAATAAAACTTCTTACTAATGTTAAGGAGGGAAAGAAAGGAAGGCAGGCAAAAATAATCCAATGAGAGCACTTTGTATCTCAGCTGCAGAAGGTCTTAGTTACTACTTCCCCCTGCTGACATGGGACAGGGACGAGACAGATGGGAACAGTTGAAGAACTCTGTTATCTTTACAAACCTAAACTTCTCAAACAATCGAGTTCCTTTAGCTAAAAATATCTGTGTGCACGTCATCTCTGTTATCCTGCATCCTTAGTTATTTTTGAAGAGTTCTTCCTACACTGCCTCATGTATAAGAAATGGCAGATGCTAAATTGTGATATCCCTGGGCCAATCTACACAAAGTAAGAGCAGCAGCATTAGCAAGTCAGAGGTCTATATACAGCAATGAGAGCAGAGCATGGATTTGTTTCAAGTGCTGCTATTTATTCATCTTTCCTATCTTCTTTTCTTCCAAGCTAAAACTGTCAATTTGCATATATAAAAGTGCCACAGAAGTGATTCAGTACCTCACGCAGAACCTCAGCTGGCACAGGCATTGCATTTTAGCATTCTGTCTGGGGCTGTCTTGTATAAATTACAGGGTTTTTAGGTTATCCTGGGCAGGAAAGGGGTACAAAACCTGCTGGTACCCTCCAGTGATAGACGCTTTCCATCCACCCAGAAGATGCCATTTCAGCTCTGTAGGAATCCCCTGCTTGTGCTTCTTCTCCCAGCACACCAGCTCCCACCCTCTGGCCCTGCTGCTGCCAGCCTGTGCTGCAGAGCCTATGATGAGCCAGCAAACTGGGCCAGTGGCTGCATCCATGCCATACAATGGAGAGGCACCCGGGGAGCTGGTGCACTCAGAGGAGCTCTGCAGAGACACTGCAGGCAGTCTGGGAATCACGGGACCCCATTTGTGGAGGAGAAGCACAGCAGAGTTGCTTTACTGTTGCTTTACTCTCGTAAGAGTTTGCCCTGTGGCGCACTCTGCTTTCTGGGTCTAGAACCCTCAGCTGTGTAGGTGGCATTTGTACAGTTGTGAGCTTCTCCCAGCTTTCTAGTGAGGGGATTTGTCAGAGTTTTCCATGCTATTGCTAGAAGACTTGACAAAAATAGCTTGATAAAGATTAAAGGCTGCTTAATGGCATGGACCCCACAGTCCCTTGCAGCAGTCCTGCATGAGAACAAAGTAATTGTCTCTTCTCCCTCTGCTCCTTCAGCAGCCTGGCAGATAACTCTGTGCTCCCTCCAGCCTGACCTAATTTCCCCCTGTTCAGTTAATAACTGGAGGCTTTAAGCCCACGTTTTCCCCAGCATCTCAGAGGCACTTCATCCATCCTGCAACTCCTAGATTACTGAAAGGCTCCAGGTTTTCAGAGCAAGCTGGCAGGTTTTTCTCATTTATTGCACCAAGGCTGATACTGCAAACACATAGAGGATGGGAGGTCAGCAGAGGGCAAGCAGATCTCTTTGTGTACTTCTTGGGATCTGCATTCTGTTCCTCTGATTTTCCCAGATGTTCCAAGGAGGGAGCTGGCTTTTTCCCTATGTTTTGTGGTTTCTTTTCATCACAAGAACATGCAATGCAATTTTGCTGAGCTGTAAATACTTCCCTCATTCACAGCTAGCGTGCAGTGAACATGATTTGTCGTCTTCTAATTAGGATTTCATCACATCTCTCAGCCCATGTCTACTGACTTATTCGGTCACATTCCAACACTGAGAATTAAGCTAGGACTTTTGAAAATGGAGGCTGACAGGGACTAGCATTGACTAATAAAGAACTAGGCCTTCAGTGCATAGTGTTCAAACAGCCACAGAACACAATTATCTGTAGGATCAGAAATATATAATTCTTTGTACCCACAGGTATATATATATATTTCAGACTTCATAGAAAGCCACAGATCTTTTTCTGGCATCCCAAACGATTTAGGGATTGATTTGCTATTCAGTATTGCTGGACCTGTCTGGCTCACCTCTCCCCGCTCCTTCCACTCACACTAGACTGCACACATGGATGCTCCCTGCAGAAAGAAGTCAGCTGCAGTCCAGCTCTGCATGAGGCAAAGTCCTGTAGGGATCATTTCTGTAAAAAAGACATGAGTATCACAAGTGATCTCCCATGCTTGCAGCCAGAATCCCAGCTCATCCCCATCACCTGGAACAGGTGGTGTTGAATGAAACACTGGCACAGAAAAGACAAGAGGAAAATAAGACTTGATAAAAATTGCAAGAGACTAGGATTTGAAAGGGTTTAGCCAATATACCACACAGGCACCATTCATCATCTTGCTGTGGTTTTAAGCAATCCAGCTCCTATTCTTGCAGCTTTCATTTGACATTAATCTCTGTTTGTGCAGTGATGAAAGCTAGTGACCAATGAAGAATGATTTCAGTGGTCTTGGTAGTGACCTGGACACATAACTGCCAAGAGCTAAGCAAGGAGGAAATATGAGGTGTGGAAAGATAGAAGGAATTTAAGGCCAGTTGAATATATCCTTTTTATGCATGCTTAACTTTAATCAGAGATCTAACGTGACTTATCCTACAACTCTAAGTAAAATTAAGTCTAGATAAATGTGATTGTAAGATCAGGACTTGATGTAATAAAACCATTTTGCGTCAACAATTTCACCATATAGAGTTTTCCAAGGAGAAGATATGTTTAAAAACTATTGCTGTTTTTTAAAGCAAGATACAGAGTTCAAAGCATAACATCCTAGAAACCGTTTTAATGATGAATGAGCTCAAAGAGATCATTTCTAACTGGGCTGATCATCAAGTCCTTGCAATTGCATTTGTCATCTTCACAGTGCAGACCTATATGTAATTTTTGTTGTTTATGGTCATCTTCCATGATAAAAATCCAAATTTCCATGATAAAAACTACACCAAAGGCGTAGATTCACACTAACTTCAAATGCTGGATTAATAGCACTGTGAATAAGTAAATCAAGTAAACCGTATTGGAGAGAGAGCAATGAGCTGCAGCCCTTCAGGGTTCTTGACTTCACCCCGAATTCAATCCAGATTGCAATTGGATTTGCATGTGTCTTCAGTCCTGTGTGTGGTCCCATTATGAACAGTGAATGAGGAATACTGGCACAGAGGAATAGAGTCAAGAAAATATATTTCATTACTGCTTTGCAAGTTGGAAGATGTGATACAAGAATCGAAGTTTAAATTAATTCCAGCATGGAAAAAAAAAAATAGGCTCTTTCCCCTTTTTCCATTCATAGACCACTGCAGGCCTCAATGATGTTGTAATTTTGTTCCACAGAACACTCCAGAGACAAGTTTTCACGTCTTCTTCCTGCTTTGGCCCAGCACTCTGATCCTGGCTCACAGAAAAGAGCCCAGTAGAGAAGATTCTGCAAATTCTTGGAAGGCAAAAAAGCTGATGTTAACAGGACATGAGTATTAGGGGAGACTCTCCATTTGGCTTTGCTTTTCATTATTGCTCCATTGATTTAATCTTTTGTTTTTATGTAAAAGGAAGCAAATGAACTGGACTACACAAGCAGTGTACGCTTCTCTGGCCAGATGGTTTGCAGCTCCTTTATATGTACATTCTATGTATAGTCCATTTTAGCTCTTTAGTCTGATGGTTTGTTGTTCCTTTTCTTTAATTGTGTAAAAAGCTGTCGTAGCTGAATATTGAACCTCAAGCAAGATGCTGTTGGATCTCCAGTTCCACGGACAGATTGCCCAGTCCAGGAATTCCCTGCCATGGAAAGCGGACCTTATTTGTTGCCCTTTCCCCTGACTTTAGCATCTGTTCAGCTCTTCCTGCCTTGTGGTGGTGCTCATTAAGTCCTTTGATCCTTACGTGAGAAAAATAAGTGTGCAGCGTGGTTGGTTTTCCAAAAAAGAGTGTTGAATCACCCCTTGGAGAGGTCCTATGGTCCCTGGTGCTGGTACAAGGCAACCAGCAGGAGAGGGCAAATGAGGGGAGATGTCAGCAGAGGAGGGGAACAGGCAGCTCATCAGACCACTGTCTTCATCCCAGTTAACCTAAAGATTTAGGTAGGATCTGGGTCTACTTAGTTATTAGCCCAGAGATTTTTCTTTGTATCTCAGCCATGTTCTTTACTACTGCCTTTTGGTACAATGTGGACATTGAAACACATGGTTCTGTTTCTTTCTTTCTTTCTTTCTTTTAATAGCACAGAAGGCTGCTTGAGGTGTGGGCAGTGAGAAGCAGCCAAAGGCCAAAGTCTTTTGAAAAATAAAAAAATTAACATGTCAGGGAAGAAATAGATCAGCTAATTCCTTGCTTCTTCCTTCTCATTGTTACTGACTGTCTACACACACACCTCTTGAAGCAGTTACTCTGGTTACACATAGATCTATGGATTTTATAGCCAGTTTCATTGCTCAGACTCACTGGCTACTGCTGAGAACAGCACAATGATCAGTGATAATCAAAAGAATGTTCAAATAGGCTGTAAGAACATGAACTTTACCTCTGGGTTTGAAGAACAGAAACAAAGTGAAGTACTCGTAGATTCTGAAGACGTTTGTGTTATTTTCTATTTTGATATAATTTATTTTGTTGTGGTTCTGTGATTTTGTTCACATGATTCTGTGATGGTAGACATTTTTCTAGTGTCCTGCTGATACCCCTTGTCTTGAAACCTCAGCTTGTACTGG